GTCCGTGGGTGCTGCTTCGACATTGGGTGGGTTGAGTGGGGCTGGTCGATTCAAGAGTTCTTTGAAGTGTTCTACCCACCTGTTTCATCGTTCTTCAATATTGTTGATTACCTTGCCTTCCTTACTTTTCAATGGTCGTTCTGGTTTGCGGCGATTTCCAGAGAGTTTATTTGTCGTGTCATACAGTTGTCTTATGTTTCCTTCTCTTACAACCTTTTCCGCCGTCGTTGCTAAATCTTCCACATATTTACGTTTGTCGGTTCTGATGCTCCTCTTCACTTGTTTGTTTACTTCTGTGTATTCAGCTCGTGCCTTGGCTTTTTCTGCTCCTGTTCGGCTGGTATTGATTGCTGCTTTCTTGTTCCTCCTTTCGATCCAGTGTATCAACAGTGATCCATTCCTTGTGATGGTGCTTCTTGTGGCCCAGGACCTCATGACATGTTGAAGTGATTGCCTCTTTGATCCCCTTCTAGTTGCTCTCCACAGTAGTTCCTTCTCCATTGAGTAGATCATGAAAGGCCTGGAACTTAATGCTGTGTAGAAGCAACACTAAATTTAAAAATGAGAACCACTAACAAATATCGGCTATTGTTTAATCCAAAGTGCTTTGTCTAAAAACCACTTTTAAATAATAGTGTATCATATAAAACCAGTGAATATATCTTGTACCAAAAATGGGTTTGTGGGTGATTTTTACAATAAAAATACACATATGTCTGGTTTATATAATTATAAAACGATGCACGTTATAAAGTATTGTAACCATAACAGATTACTTAGTGCACTAGTGAAACTCGTCTGGATTGTTTTTGGGATTCGACGTTATAGAGAGTGTTCATTGTGTGGGTCTTACTAAGTATTCATAGTGATTTTGTTCGATACTTCTATCAAACGTTCTCATTGTCTTCTACTATTAGTGGAAAAATCTCAGTCGAAGATCGTATACTCATATGTTTTAGATGTATATTACTTAGCGGGTTGTTTAGTAAAAAATGGTTTATGTACTCAGTATGAATACAACACTCATACATTAAAAGTAAAAGATCTGGAGAAAAGCGGGTAGTATGTTGATTGAGACTACGACCATTTCGGTAATAGCTAAAAAAACGGTATGAAAACCATTTTATTTTCTTATTGTTTGAATAAACACAAAATTTAATAAACTGAAATTCTAGTAGATATGTGGTTTCATTTCAGGCTAAAACAAAATCCGTGGATATCCCTTAGTGCCCATCTAAACCTTTTTATTCACCTATGCAGAATTCTCATTGGTACTTCTCAGTTCTGCGATTGTTTTGTCAGATAAACAGCCTAATAGCACATGCGATGTTTCTTTATCTAGATAAGTCGGTTTTAGCCCATCAATACTTACTGAGTCGGTGTTTCCTGGTTTTTTTGTACAAAGAAATATTTGAGTTCTCTTGAAATAACTTTGCATGGGCTTCAAACGGATGAATAAATGGTGCGTTAACTTTGTTACACCTTATCCACACGTGCGTACAATTGCCTAGGTCCTTAGTTACATTTGTCGCTTGCAATTGTTCACGAGTAGTAATTGGTTTAAGCTTGGACATTTGGTCCCGTAGTTAGTCTACGAAACTTTTTAAATTATGCGTTTTTACTATCAGTACGAGGATTGAGGAACTCATCCGGCAACCTTAGATTCTTCCGGAAGGCTAGTTCTGCTGCCGAATACTGAGTCACTTTTGATAGCCGTTCTTATTCCTAACATAACTAATGGCAGGAACTCTGTCTACGGACCGGGGTTTGAATGTGGTATTAGGGCAGCCTTTAACTGACGGCAGAAACGTCCCATCATCTCACTAGCCTGAGGATGGTAAGCAGTGCAACGTATTCAGTTAGAGCCTAGGAACTCAGACAAGTTGTTGAATAGTTTAGATTCAAACCGTGCTCTAATATCAGTCTTTATTGTAACAGGTGTACCAAAAACGGTTACCCTGTTCTGAATGACAGCTTAGGCAACCGTTTCAGCTGTGAAACCCATTATAGGTACGGCTTTTCGAAAACTCGTGAATCTGCCCAGGCATGTGTAGATCACCAACATAAATGATATGATTCGGATGATCGGGGGCCTACGTGAAATAGATGGGAATGTTGTGACGAACCAGATAACTTCGAAGTCACGCCTCGCAGTAAGCACCTAACATGAATTAACCTTTCGTCTTAGTAAGGCACTATGGCTGCGTTAAAGACCGTAAAACACAAAAAACGTTATGAGAGAAATGTATCACTTAAATTAATTACGAAGAAGTTGCGATGATTTGGTTAGGGTCCTGCACATGTACATATGCAATTAAAACCAGCAGAACTCTATAAAGGACCTATTTAACGTAAATGAACGTGGGCAAGACCTATATCTCCCTGTGAGAAATTGAAATTGTAAAAAGGTAACAAGCGGCTATTGACTCGCCAAAAGTCTCTAACACACATGTGTACATCTATTTGATGTCATCCGGCGAACAGAAATTGAGTATCCTTCGTAGACGATTGTTAATAGTATCCGGTCAATGGATATTGAGTACCTTTCGTAGAAATTTTTTTATAAATATTTGAACAGCTTTGATTATGATTGTGGTAGTTCTCCACTTTTCCGTTCCGTATAGTAGAACTATCTTGATGTTTGCATCGAAAATAATGACAGTGATGTTGACTGACAGTTGTTTTGAGTTTCAAGTGTTGTCAAACTGTAGGAATGCGGTCCCTGCTTTGCCAATTCGTACTCAAATATTTACATTAGATTCTCCTTGTTTAACAATGATGCTGACCAGGTACGTGAAAGTCACCACCTCTTCCAGTGCTTCTCCATCAAGTATGACTGGATTCGTTGGTGTTCTCCGTGTTGTGTCTGAGGATCTTACGTTTTCCCCTGTGTATGTTCAGGCCTACTGATGCAGAGGTTGCTGCAGCTACACCGATTGTCTTCACCTGCATTTGGTCATATGCATTAAATAGAACGGCCAGGTCATCTGTGAAGTCCAAATCGTCTAGTTGCATCCAAGTTGTCCATTGTGTTCCAAACTCCCCCCACACATGTGAATGTCTTCATAATCCAGACAATCAATAGAGGAAAAAGGAAGAGGAAGGGCAAACACCCATATCTCACTCCGACTCGAATGCGTCTGTCAGCTGTCCCCCATATCCGACGTCGCAGTGTAGTCCGTCGTATGAATTCTGGATCGTGTTGACGATTTTCTCAACTACTCTATAGTGTCCAAGAAGCCTCTATAAGGTTCTCTTATCCACAGGGCCAAAAGCTTCATCATAGTCAAGAAAGTGGATATATAGTAACGAGTTCCATTTAATTGACTGCTCAGCAACGATTCGTAATGTGAAGATTTAGTCGATTGAAGACCTATCGTTATGGAATCCAGACTGTTGCTTTCGAAGTTGGGTGTCCACTGAATCTTACATTCGGTTCAGGGACATATGTATTGACTTTTGAAGAACCTCGGCTTTCAAAATGAGGCATCACAATTCTTCTAATTAAACACCTTTGAGTTCCCAGAGCAGATTTAAAATTATTCTTGTTTCTGGGAATTTACTGATGGAGTGATGAACGAAGAATGTTGGTAAAATCAAAGTTATTCAAGGAAACACTTACAGAAGTGTTCACGACGATCGTCCAGCAGTGTTAGAAATTAGCGATTCCAAGATCCAATATATGAGGTATGATCTTGAAGACAGAGTACTTTGGGTTCATGTCCCAGCTATGACAAACCTTATGCAATCCAGTCCACTTAACCTACAGCACTTTCAAGGGTTAAGAGCAAGTTTCCGACTATGTAAACTTACTGAACACTATAGAAATCCACTATTAGTTCTTAACATTTTGATTACAGCACTCGTAAATGACAATACCACTTGGACAATTACGTGAATATGACGATTAATTAACCGCTTCTTAAGTGATTCCTGATGTCTACTCTTTAATTTGAACACTAGGAAGAAAATTTGCATTAGCTTATTACAAGCCATACCCTGTTTTTATCCGAACTTGAGTCAATTATTTATTCAAGCACATAAAGATCGGTACGAGGAGACACCAAAGAGGTGTGTTACATAAATAATTCGATTTGTGTGAGAGCTAGGATACCGCTCGGGTGTTCAAATAGAAGCAAGTAGTTTCCTTAGGGGGCCAACCCGAAGCCTTTGGCCTAACCTTCTAGTCCCAAGGCAGTGCATCAACGTTAGGAGATGCAGTCTCGTGGTAGCCGGCGACCAAAAATAGGTTAATACACCACTTGCCCTCTTAAAATCCTGAAGTCAATGTGCAGGATTTGTTTGGAATGTTTCCCAACTCCTACATACCCGCCAACCAAGGTAAATCGCCAGACACTCGCTTTTCGCCCTCCCAATTTCGTAAACAACAGTCCTATCATGAGAGGGGAGTGAGTAGGACTTCCCTGGCAGTCAACAGAAGCAGTAAAACAAAGAATAGAAAACGGTATATTCCTAACCTGTTATGATTTCACACCGCCATTTGACGGGACTGCCAACAAATGACTGTCCATTGAGATGAGGTTTGGATAAACCTATTCAAACTTTGCACTGGATAATACACCCACTTCCGAGAACGGCTGGTCCGGTCTATAAATGTACCCATGGTAAAGCATGGCAATTCTTTGTATCGTTTAAGACCAGACGTGAACTCAGTGATATTTCATTTGACATTTTCGCTAAAAACACATCCATTTTCAAAATGTAATATTAGTAGTTAATGTCTTATAGTATGAGAGGGTATCTTCTTCGGTAATTATCTCACTAATAAGTTACTAACTCTGCAGGTGCTGTTGTTATAACCCTTTTTAGCTCTAGTTAGTACATGCTAATCAATAACTCAAGCGCAAACCAAAAGGTGAAGAAGCTGATTCGAATAATTTATTGTACACGATGATGACTAAAGACAATTAAAATCCTTCATAAAGAAACCTATAATTTTGCAGTTTGAAGAAAGAAATGAGGGGCAAGAGCTTTCTAATTCAATTGGAAGCTTTTGCTTTCAATGCACTAATTTTTTGAACAACTGGTTGAGTAGCTTGAAGTATATCTTCTGGTAACTACAACGAAAAAAGACAGAAATCAATTTTTTTAGATTAACCATAGAAAACAGAGACAGTCAACAGTTGCACAAAGTAAGACCTGATACTCAAGATTAAAACCCGTAATTTCAGCCAGAAACTACTGCTAAGCGATTAAAAAGGAATATTAGAACAACACATATAAGCGAACAATTGTTTTCAATTAGATCGTCATCAGGCTTTACTCTAATATACATGAATATTTATACGAAAATTTTAAACCAATCAAGGCAATATGAGTCAATAATCACAATGAAATAGAATAAGTCACTACACATAATAGGTAAAAGTACAAGTTGATAGTACGAAGACAGGTGAACAGATAGTGGTAAGAATAATAAACTACAATAATAACTTCTTAGAGTATGAGTAAAAATGCTGCGACATTTACTTAGACCGATTTATTTTGGAGTGCCACAATCTGTTTTCACAAATTAACGACCGAAATCACTGCAGCTGAACGAAAAATAGTTCATTTAGAGTACTTTTGTATTTAACGAATGAAATAAGTCAATGTGTCAGATAAATCATTGGAAAAATTTGTCTAACCAGTTACCAAACAAAAAATACCTCTGAACCACTGGATCTACAGCAATCAATAAATCGTGATGGAAGATCATATTACAAAAATGAGTGCTACTTCCAAACCAAGTTTTTTTTTAACTCAGACAAATGAAGCATAAAACCAAAACTTACATTTTCGCTCACTTCCAAACGATGATGTAAAACTTGGAGAGTGGGTTGTATACAAACTTGAAGAAGATCCATATTGAACGGTGGTGATACTACTGTACGAATTAACTGGTATAAGTTGTCATCGTTTGTCGACAAAGCTGAAATTATATAAAAAACATCAGGGCTATATCAAGGGTACAAATAATGTACTATTTTAAACGGCATGATTTCAAGTCAGTGAAATCGTCTATTGAATTACGATGTAAGATGTCGACTTAAGTTGAACTGTTGACACCGAAATTAATGTATTTGGTTAAAAGAATCTATCTTCGGATGACGGATGGAAAATGAGATCGTAATAATCCCTTGAATATTATTACTATTAGTCAAGTGCTATCGGCTATATACCGACTTCTGTGATCATTCCACACAACTGCATAGAATTAGCGGATACTAATTGTAGACATAAATTTGATGTGTGGTGAATTAAAGTAGGGTGGTCACTGATGATGCGACAGACGGATATCTATATATGATGATCTCAATCTACTTAATAGGTTGTTGATCGACTATTCAAATTTCGATGGCTGGTTGTATTATATACACCGTAACGAGCAGCATATATTTTTGTCCTACCGTTCGACCAAGATGTAATGATGAAAGTTGGAGAAGTAATTTTCTGAAATCAATCACTTGTAGAAACTCATGAATATGTTCAATCTATGTTAATTACGATTTTACTGAATTTGTCAAAAATATGTACAATGTAACGTAACAACGACAAAAAAGGGATTGAGTTTACCGTGAACTCAGCGACAAACCACAACAAACATATTTAGAAATAGTACCTGCATTGCGGAGACAATGATCCACAAAACCAGGAATATGCTGAGAATCAACAGATTTTAGATACTCCACCGAAGACAGAAATTCAGATTTCGTCAATGAATTTCGTGGATTGCCAACCAAGAAAGTAAACGGAACTGTTTTGTTATTCTAAATCAGAAGTAACATTGAAGACAAATTAATACTCATTGTTAAAATGATCATGACACCACACGAATTCAGTGTACAAGGTGTCTAGCACATTGTGTTAAGGTAAAAAAAAACTTATTGGTACTGTTGGAATAGGAAATCATTACAATATTCGAAAGTATAATCATTCGGTTTCTTATTGCTCCCGTAGTTTTTTGTTAGGATGACAGGTCAGTAACATAACTCTTATATACATATATCATAACAATTGATATGTATCCCGCAAACGTTTGTAGTACTAAGAAATAAATGAGATAATACATGGAGTTGAATTTGACATGCAACGCATAATTCTTAACAAGTCTAGAGGGGTGATAATCTCATTACATCTTCTTTCTGTTATGTAGTACAATAACTAAGGAGAGGATTGCTAGTATAATATCTAATTAAAGAACGGTGTCGAATAAGAAAATTCTCAGGTGGATAAACTCTAACTGAGCTATCATCAAGTGATGGAAAGATTATTTAACACAATAATGTCTTCAAGTAACTAGAACAAAATATATCACATTGATTAACTATCGACGTACTAATGGCCATTCATGACAAAATATTCTGTATAGTAACTCACATTCGCAAACTACGTAGACATACCATTTTGAGGTATTAACAAACGTGTTTACTCAAAGAACCTGCTAGTAGTGCATAAGTGTTTTAGTGAGCAAAATTTAAAACTGATTGGATTTCGCTTAGCTATATCTGGCTATATATAGATTCCAACATCAATGTAACTTTGTTGCCAATCACTAACTGTCTACAAAACAAAGTGAACCCACTCCCTACTTATCTTTCGTCATAAAAAGTATAACGATGATTACCTCCAACAAAGTAGAAACTAAGTCACTCAGCCCACGATTAACCAAAACTCCAGCCAACTGTAAATTGACAGAATTGAGACCAAGTTTGGAAAGCTTTTTTGTGATATCAATCACTGATAAAAAATTAAAAGGAAATACGATACGAATATTTTTTAAAAGAGCAATAAATATAACTAGTTCTGGCAAATTAAAAAAAACATGACTTTTCCAAAGATAATGACATATATGAATGTAAAATAAATGATACTGGCATGTACGTTGTTGGTCGGAGTGATAGACTTACCAATGAGCTTTAGCGAAGGACGACAAAGGTCAACAACACCATCAATTCCGAAATGTGTAGTAAATACATGCTTTTAAGCTTCAGATTTATTCCCCGATATCAGATAAAGATCCTACAGATACACGGCTAAATTAACCTTATATTGAAGAAGTTATGAATAGCTATGGATAGAAAGCCTTATGGCATGTAAAAAATATTAGATTCCCCTCTTAACCATAACCACAGTTTACAAGCCTATTTATAGTAGATATTTTTTCGCTCATATGTATACAAATATGATCCACATTCACGTTATTTTATTCTTATGATAATTTTCACAAATTTTTTATTTACTACTCACTCATCTCTTTCTAAAAGTAATACAAATAATTTGTTCACCTTACTAAATACATATTTAGCATGCATATGACCAAATGCAGGTGAAGACAATCGGTGTAGCTGCAGCAACCTCTGCATCAGTAGGCCTGAACATACACAAGGGGAAACGTAAGATCCTCAGACACAACACGGAGAACACCAACGAATCCAATCATACTTGATGGAGAAGCACTGGAAGAGATGGTGACTTTCACGTACCTGGTCAGCATCATTGTTAAACAAGGAGAATCTAATGTAAATATTTGAGTACGAATTGGCAAAGCAGGGACCGCATTCCTACAGTCTGACAACACATGAAACTCAAAACAACTGTCAGCCAACATCACTGTGACCATTTGTTCGCGCAGGATACTGGATGCCATGTGCACTAATGGTTTGGATTCCGGTTAAAGCGCCGGACATTCGCTTTTCGTCTTCTCATTTTCGTAAACAACACCCGCGCCACGAGAAGGCAATGAGTAGAACTTCCCTGGCAGAGGCTATATACGCATGGCCATGTGAGAGCATTTCGAGAGGGAGACAGGACTCTCCTCACTCTCGGCCGTACCAGGGCATTTGGGGAGAATAGAACATTATAACAATGAGTATAAATTTTATAACTGACCATAAATTATTGTGACTAATTGAATTTACAAGTTAAAAAAGTTAATTAATATATAACATACAGTCTGAAATATGTTCAGTTGGCCAACATCTGAAAAGTGTATCTAAGTGTGGACCCCTCATTGTAGAGTATAAATCCTTAGGTGAAAGATTTTGTAAATTTTGAATCGACTGTTTCACACTTTCTGAAGATGATTCTTTTTCCGTATCATTTTCTAAGGATGACCTGTACATGATAAATAACAATATTTATTAAATCAATAAAAGCAACAAAGACATCTTAAACGAATAAGGACAATCCAGCGTCTATGCCGACTGAACACAAGTTAAAAATTCTAATATAAGGATACAGTTAAATTTTACGCATTTATTGAATTACGCTTATATGATGATGTAATAGTTAGGCATTAATTTTATTGAATCGAAAATGACATCCGTGGCGCTGGTTGTATGTACGTGGTCATGTGAGAGCATTTCGAGAGGGAGGGCTGACTTTCAACACTCTCGGCCGTACCAGGGTATTTGGAGGATCCGAAAGACGATAGCAACTGATGGTTAAAGATCTTGAATGACACGGCTGAAAAACATTTGCAATGGCGCAGGTGCATCCATTCTGTGTTGTCCAAAATTCTTCTGAATTATTCATGTCCTTTTTTTCTCTTTTCTAATTTATATCACTGGATTATACTCGTTGAATAACATCTACAAACCCTAATCTGTTCGATTACTGCTTATACTCTTACTACCTTTACTATTACAGGATTTGAGTCGAGAATTGTTTCTGTGGTGTGACAAGTCGAAGTGATGTACGCACGTACGTACGAAGTTTTACGTTGTTACTGACTAATCGAGAAGTTGACGACTTTAAAAGTATTTATACGAATAATATTTGATAACATATTATTCTGTAATGAAAACAACCACACTATGAAATTAAATAATTTTTTGTCTTTATAAAATCGTATACTTGTTGAACAAGTAAAGTGGAGGGAATTTTCAATTACATTACAATGTAAGAGGAAATTTCTAACTATTTTCTTTTTCTTTCAATAAAATATACTCACTTTATTATATGTGCAAGTGATTTCATTGGTTCACGTTGTTTTCTTTGTTCTTCAGGCAAAAATTGTAACACACGTTCAACCAGATCTTTTGATCCAAGATTTACGAGATAGCTCAATAAAATGAATTTCTCTTGAAAGCAACAAAATAATATAGATTAGCAATGATTATTATTATAGAATAATAAAATAAAAATTTACGAAATATATACATATCTAAAAACAAATGACAAACATACTTTGTAAACTCCATAAAGCTTCAATAGATTTTAATTCCGTTTCCAATTTCTTAGGATCATCTTTTAGTGCTCTATAATAAGGGATAATGAAATCAAGCACGTTTTAGTAGGGAAATAAAAGGTAATATTGACGAGAAAAACAGTAATCTTATCATGTGACAACATATACGTACTGACTAGATCATAATTCATTTCAGGCACTACGCTGACTACAAATGGTTGACTAACATTACATTCAATTGAAAGCATTATATTAGATGTCAACCCAGAAGTAAAAAAAACCAATTAGTTAGAAAAATCAAACAATAACAAATTAATAATCGCATAATATTCTTACTTAACAAGTGATTCGGCGGCAATTGGTACTGATTCTTCAGAAGGCAACTTCTGTAAAAACATTAAAGTAATTATGAACAACGTGTAAAATAAACAAGACTGAAACACATACACAATAATACACACTATCAGAAAGCGTAAAGAATATAGTCAGTGTTCAATAAACGTAGCGCACAAGTTTGTGCTACAATCAACGTTCCAAGAGTTTTAAATACAGAAAACGCTTTATTTATGAGAAATTGTAACTATGTATTTCATTCTATAAAAATATGTATAATATACACAACATACCATTTGATTAGCTAATGAACCTTCATTTTTGTTTCTTCTGACTGCTTTATATTAGAAAAAGTGAAAAAGGAAATGTATATTAATACATTCCTACAATATTCATAATGAATCACATGTTTAAATAATAGCTGTGTCAATGACTATCATTAAAAATTTTCAATATGTCGAATTCTCAAAAGATGAGTAAAACAAACGAAACATGCATATGAGGAAATTACCAACCCAATATAAACCATACATATTTGGTGGAAAACGATCATAACTGTAGTTGCGACAATGACATAATGCTCAGGCATTCACATTGTGATGATTTAGCCAAGCGATATTGGGTGAAACACTTTCACATTTAGGGTTTACGATACGAAGTACGTAGGTAAAGAATTATACAAGTCCAAGCAGCAATTTGCTCACGAATGCTCTGGCACAGCCGAGAGTGTTGAGAGTCAACCCTCCCTCACGAAATGCTCTCACATGACCATTTGCATACAACCACTGTCACGGAAGTCCTAATTACTGCCTTCTCGTGATAGGGATGTTGTATACGAAATTGAGAGGATGAAAAGCGAATGTCCGGCGCTTTAACTATATTGGTGGACACGAGGAGTCAACCTAGGAGAGTTGGAAAACCCTGATTGTAAAACCAATGGTGCACATGGGTTTCAGTATCCTGAGGGAACAAATGGCGTGTGAACTAATTATTGGTCACCGGTTACCATGGAACTGTATCTCCTGATGTTACCTCACTGCCTTGTGGATCAGACCTTTAGGTCAAAGGCTCTGGGTGTCGCCCCCTAATAAAACAGCCTGCTTGGGTTTGAGCACCCGAGTAGTACCACAGCCCTCATAAAAATCAAAAGAGATTTGTGTGGCGGATATGTATCTGGTGCCTCCTTGTACCAAAACATATGTGTTCAAATAAAAAACAGCAATTTATGGTTGCAGTGTGAAGCAGTATTGGTGACTAAACTGAGGTGTGACGCCAGTAAAGTATTTACTCAAGACATCCTGTATCATACTTTTTCAAAACAAGAGATGGGATTTACAAATGATCGATTGTAATTGTATGAAATCTAACATTGTCCCATGAATATCCGATAACAGTGGGGAAATCTTTCAAATATTTAAGCACCGTACAAAAAAGCGAGGGTGTAACGGTTTACGAAGTTTTGTAAGAGACCGCTTGGATACTACCTCGAACAAACTATTGGGCCTTATAACAAGTAAAATACATCGTCAAGGCGTAGACTGATAAAATCTCTCTTCTTCTGAAACTTGAGTTTTAAAATTGCTTTGTACTGATCAATTAAAAAGATCTCATCATAAAGCTTAAATCATATTTCTGCCAGAGATCGAAATGTATGACGTAAGGTGAAGTTTTGTTTTTAGAATATACCTTTTCTAAAACATTCATTCTTTTGTGACAAGGTAACATTACTTCAGAAGTTGGTTGTTTGAGACAAACAACTTATTGCAGTCAAACAATAAAGTCACCCATACAACATCCCCTATGAACCATGAGTTCGCTGAGTTTAGTCTTATTGTTCTCCAACCGACTTGATTGGGATGACAGGAAAAACACAGATGATCCCAAAGGACAATCATATTTAGCGTAACGAAGATAGCCAGGATACCAAAAATCACAACGACTGTAAGCGTGCTGTAATTATGACGATCTTTTAACATTTGGAAAAGGGTGCAGATATGGTTGATGCTTCTTGAAACAGAACAATAACAGGACCACCTCCACCCGATTCAGCCTTTCTTGTTTTTCCAACAATCTGAATAGTGTTATGGAAGTCAATATTTTTAACAATTACCGTTATGTTATTTTATGCCTTAATGTGGTACGGCAACTTGAAATGATGCTTTGTTTTTTGTGACTAATCGATAAAAATAACTAATATAATGATGGGGAAAAGGCTACCGCTAATGGCGATGTGATAAATCACGCTGATGCACTTCAAAAATAAACGAAGTGGCAATCACAAAAGCGATAGACACTATTTTCAAAATGTTTATAGTACCATATCTCCAGCGACAGCGGTGCAAAGAAACAGGGAAATTCGCTTAATACACACAAAACCGGTATAACGGCTCGACATTGATGAGTATTACCAAAAACGTTCTAATCTTCTTTCAAAATCAGTAACCAATGATAGTACAACCCATACAAAAAACCAAGTATATAAATCGAACAATACACCTTACAAGAATGGTCTTTAATTGATTTTGTGCTTACCGTTGCTCGTTCGCCCACCAAAAAGCACAACGCTAAGATCTGAAAACCTAAAATTGAAGAGCATAATGGAAAAAGGAAGCATTAGTAAGAAAAGTGAGGACATGTGAATTAGTTGTCTGACATGAGGGCTCAGAGAATAACCCCCTTACGAAAACCAAATGCTTCGAGTTTAGTACCCGGGTATAATTTCCACCTATAAATAAATAAAGTGATGATGTTAAAAAGAAGTGTGGATTATTGATGTCTAACTAACTTTACAGACTTTGATTGGATTTAAAAAACGAGAAACAATTATCAAACTTACGAAGATAGTTCCACAGATTGATCAGAAGAAAGTTTTGCCATAATGTGCTTGAATAATAGAAAAAAGAAAATGCGATCATGAAACACATATTCAAACAAAAATGCAATGTACTTTAGGATATGATCACATCCTCAAACTTCGCAGATTACATGTCAACAATCCTAGTGTTTAGCACCAATAAAGACAACAGAAAATTGATTATAACTAATGCAAATACTAACGGTTTCAAAAAGTGACAAATTACAAGGATATGCATATAATTAATGTTATTCATGTGCGCGAAACGTACCCTTGGTACACCGGCATCTTTCAATCCTGATAATATCCAATCACCATAACCAAACGTGACATTCTAAGAGAAAAAAAGTGGCAAATGAATACAAAAAAATACTAGGTAATAACGCAGGTGGATGTCTTAGAATCAAGAACTCGATATTTTTAATAAAATATCCAGATTAATAACTACAGGTGCTAGAAAACTATCAGTACGATAGTTGTGGAGATAGTTAAATTTCGTTGAAATCACAAACCAATAACTGGCTGTTTAACTTATATTAGTTTGAGATCTCAAATAAACCAGTGAACTTATAATCAATGAATAAAAGTTAGCAGATGAAATTTAACGCATAAGTGAACATATTTAGACTAGTACGGTAGTTGAGAGCTCAGTAAATGGTTTACCCATGAAAGCACTGTTCTTCAAAAAGAGACGTAACTTATGCTGAGAAATAGGGTCAAAAATATTGTCGACGGATAAAAATGGGGATTTAGGAAGCAACAAATAAATATGTACCTTTCAGAAACTCGTAAATCAGCAACAACTGTAGGAGTAATAGTACTCCATACACATTTGGTGTAAATAGTAAAAATAATTAGCACACAAATAGCATAAATTAATAGTAGAATTTTGAGTTTTTAGTATACGATCTACCTATTTTGACCGTAAAGATCGTCCTACATGGAGACCAAGTTTGAGTAAGTGTTCACCAGAAATTAAATTTTTGTAAAAAGTATACATCTTTCGATAAGAGTACTCTGTAAACATTACTGATGAATTCAAGAACCTATGAATAAAGGGTATTGTAATAGGAATTGGTTTTATCAATACACTGTCTCATATGCATGCAGCAGTGTTGCAGTTAGTAAAATGTTTTAATTCATTGGTTGATGCCTGTAGCCTTTCCTGGGTTACTCCCGGTCCCAAGCCCTGGTAAACGAGGAGGTTAGGCATGGAGTCAGAAACACCATCACGTAGAAAACAATCTTACTTAAAAACACTGGCCAAAAATTCCTGATTGGCAGCCTATGCTCTTCCACGACGGGTAAATTAAAAGGATCAAAATCTATCGACCAAGTTACAATGTGGCGACTAGATTCACATATAGTCTGCAGTTACACAGCATACTTTGATTTAAAATGTTCAAGTTTTATTGAGCAGCTCTACGTGATAGAATTCGTTTGCAGAATGTCAATAAGACATTACGATGACCTACGTTAATCAAAATACTCTCAAACTAACAATAGGTAGTTTTGAATGCACATTACACTAGCTCCTTAAGTGATAATTTTATTTAAATAATTGCGAAGTTCAATAAAACTCAGTAACAAGTGTATTTTTCTAATGTCTAAATCATTTACTATCAATAAAACAGAAATCAAGTATAGGTGCAACCATCAACAAACCAAAACGAAAATATTCTCCGCTTACTTGATGAGCGCATACATCAGCTACAAGTTGAATTACAATATTTTTTGGGATGCCATGAAATGAACGAAGGTTGGATAAAATCAAAGCTTCGAAAACTTGCAAGTACAGCATACGTAACGAACGTTTTGTTAGTGTATGGCTGAAAATGCGGAAAACGTCATGCATTACGGTTGATTTATTCAACTTTGCAATTTCTGCCATATCTGAAACGGATATTATATTTGTCACCTGAGGTTTAAGAAAACAAAACAAGAAAAGCACATCCATCGAAAGTCAGAAAAAAATTCAGACGTTGCATAATAGAAAAACGCATAGATTGAAAAAGAAACTAAGTAATGAACAATTACAAAAAGTACTCTTCTGAGCATGATAATAGCATGATCAATATTAAAACTTAACAACGCAATTACACTCTACCAATTCCTGACCCTGAGTACCTATGGGGCAAATCCTGTTTCATCGATATAACCTTAATTACCTGTCTAGTCGAAATTTTAACTTGATTCACTGAATAAGCAATGTAGAACCTGACACATAAGTACATCGGTTTAAGCTGTCATGCCTCATTAACACAGCAAAGCCAATAATAGTACAGATTATGAAATAATTAGTGATAAGAAAATATAAGTTTCCGAATGTTTGAAAATACTGACTACTGAAACATTCGCACACAGATGCAGATCAGAAAAGAGATTTGGCTTTCTTTGTTCGATTAGAAAGTTCTATAAAAGTGAGAAAACGGTGTCTTAATGTAAACACCACCCATACCTCAACAGATTACAACCCGAGTGTTATCGTAGATAAGTTGTACCACCAACTGAACGGAAGAGAAAGCACTATTGAAAGAGAGAGTAGCGCGAGTCAGACATTTAATTGTGAAAAACAACCGTCTACATACATAGGAGTCGAGTGTTGGCTTACGGCAACTTCTTCACAGGATCTATAATGGTGACTATTATCTCCAACGCCTGACATCCGATTCTCATTCTTTTAATTTCGTAAACATCTTCGCCGCGATGACTTTCTGGCAGTGGCTGTATATGGGAGGCCATTTGAGAACATTTCAAAAATAGGCGTGCTCTCCTCTATTCCGGCCGTACCAATGCATTTAGGGAGCAGTCATGAGAGTTTGTCGTCTGATGAAATTTTTACACGAATTCATAAGGCTCGATTCTCGTTCGCCAACTTTCTTCATTTGTGGCGTAGTTGAGATATCCTTTAACCAACCAAAGGTGAGTTTACTGTGCAGCGGTTTGCTCATAGGTGACTTCGAAGCATAGCTCGTGTATTTTGGGACCACGAAGTGAGCTATGCCTCGGTTTAAGAGCTGGATACTAGGTTAGAACAGCGAATTGAGTGATGAGGTACTAAATATTCATCAATTTATGCCAAAGCCCACTTCAACGGTGGGCGGATAATCCTTTCCAGTTGCTACTCATCCTTATGATATCTACTTCCAATTCTCGACACAGCGCTCATTGATCTTTCTCATTTCCGTTAACCTTCAGGATTTCAAGTTAGAGCTCGCCTCGTGATGCAGTTTGATGGTTACCTTAATGTATCTCGTATCCACTACCGTGATTTCCTCCTCAGCTCAAAGTCTGATTGTTCTTTCCCACAGTTAGCTGTTGTTGATGGTATCCAGCCAATGGATTTTGAGTATATCGCGTAGACAACTATTTATAAATACGTGTGCCTTTTTGATGATGGTTGTATTAGTTGTTGAAGTTTCAGATTTGTACAGTAGAACTGTTTCGACGTTCGTATTGAAGATTGTGGCTTTGATATTGTTTGACATTTGTTGTAAGTTCCAGATATTGTTCAATTGTAGGAATATTGCTCTTGGTTTACTGATCCTCACCATTACATCTGCATCAGGTTCTCCCTGTTCGTCGATGATGCTGACCTTGTCATGTGCTAAAAGTTTCCACCTGCTCCAGAGTTTGTCCATCAAATGTGATTTGTTTGGTTTGTGTTCTCTGCGTTGTATTTGAGGATGTTGGATTTTATCTTGCGTAGTTTGATGGTTACCTTAATGTATGTTGTATCCAATACCAATGTCTTTTCCTGATTTCCTATCCAGGTAGGAAGTGGTTTGTTCTTTACCACAGTAAGTTGTTGCTAATGGTATCCGGACAACGGCCATTCAGTAATTATATGGCAATAGAAATTTATTGGTCGTACTATTTCATAGCACTTACAATAAGGAAATGTAAGTATTTGCAAATAACGTCCACACATGGGGTCTTCAAACCAATGTAATATTCCGAGATGATGAATAAAACCAATGATAAAAACTGAACTATCATTAGTTATTGGGATCAGATAGGAAGTTTGTGAAAACCAGGTCTTACTAATAACTTTTGCTATATGCATTACAGTTAATCAGATAACACTTTGACGAAATATAAATACAGTTTCCAAATGCAAAACTTGATGGATTTATCTCCACTTAAACGTAAATGCAATTTACCATAGGGCAATATGTGCCCGGTTCCCGATTTTTAGCGTCACAAGGCAAGCCCCCACATGGAAACCTCAAGGCCAAATGAAAAGAGGAAAAGCAAAGAACACATTACGCCGAGACAGACATGAGAAGAATGAACAACAATTGGATAGAACTAGAAAGGAAGGCCTAGGACAGAGTGGGTTGGAGAATGCTGGTCGGCGGCCTATGCTCAATTAGGAGTAACAGGCGTAAGTAAGTAATGTGTGTCCAGATATTTTTTTACTTCATACAACATAAACAAAATGTATAATTGACTAATTACCAGTTTAACTACAATGGGGTTGCCCAAACGAACAACATCATTGTACGGTAGTAATTCCTTAGCGCGATACTCATTCACCAATTCCAAACAGCTAGTTAAACGTGATTTTAAATCGTCTGTTGATTGTATTGATACTAGGTTATTAAACACATATCCGAACACTAAAGCCTTATTAATCTCATGATCCTAAAATGTAAAAACATAGAAAATAATAATTTTAAAATTATAGATTTATCATATATAAGCAAAATAAAGAATGTCATCATTTTCCTGTAAGAATATTGCAGTAGAATCGAATGCTAACAAAAGAGGTCTCGATAACCAGAAATGACCTAGATGAAACGGGATAAACGTTTTGTGTTATTATTATTCAATAACGAAGGAATATTAAGGGATACATTCTTGATAAGGCAATCAAAGCAAAATTCACTCAAGTATAGTATCGCTGAAAATACAATTATGGTGTTTTTGATTAATGATAATATTTACTATTAAAACTGGATATCATGAAAATCTTAGCAGAACATCCACTAACATAATGAGACTTTACTCTTATGATATTTAGATATGGGCATTCACATACAGTCAGTCAGTCAGTAACAACGTAGAACTTCGTACGTACGTACATCAGTTCGAGTTGCCACACCACATTAGCACAGAGATGCACTTGTCGATTCGAATCCCGTAGTGGTAGAGGTAATAAGAGTATAAGCAGTAATCGGGAAGATTAGGGTTTGGAGATGTTCAAGACATATTGAACTAGCAGAAACAGACTTAATAATTACATAAAGCTACTTCACTGGGCGCAAACTCACACATTTGGCAAGGTTTGGTCAGTCAGTCAATCAGCTACAACGTAGGACCAGGCACATATATGCATCGGTCCGAGTTGCAATACCTCATTAACACAACAAGATGGACACCCGATTCATAAAAGTAGTTAATACAGAGGTGGTTATATATAAAAGAAAGATTGCAATAAGAATATAGTACAGGAAGTAAGAAAGATATGAAGAATTTTAACCTCTTAGTTTAGGGGAAGACAGAGAGTGTATACACCGACGCTATTGTGATCGATTCTGAGGCATGTCACCAAGAGTCTCCAACCATTGGTTACGATAGTCACGAGGATCCCAACCAAGTAGTCTGCATCTACCAACATGGCTGAGATTAGAAGATAGTAACTGCAAGCACTGATGCCACGTTTTGGTTTGGCCGCCCCTAACTTTCTTCCAACCATCTCTAACACCGGTTAGCATTGCACGTCGTGGTAATCGGTGTTCAGGCATACGTAGCACGTGGCCCACCCGGTCTCTCAAACCAAAGTGCCGAAGGACTGGGACTTGTAACTTTTTGAATAAGGCATTAAAGATCTTCAGATAACTTTAGGTATCATAAATAACTTTATATTTAAACTCATACAGACTAACACTAAGATTTAATTATATGTGAAAATTATATTTGACTTAATCTCAGAGACTGAAGTTTAAATGATTCCAACGTTTCGTCCAGCAAACTTGAGTAAACTTCTTCAGGGTAATCAAGATCAAAATTATTTGAATTTCTGTCGCTCAGATTACTTCAAATATAATTTACACGTATAATGGCTTTTCTATATTCGGCAAACTATTCGTTCTAATATTGACGAATACCCGTATCGTAAGATTTATTCAAGATTAGTAAAAATAATAATACGTATAAAACGTACTTGAGTTTGATTGATTAAGTCCTGTAAAGAAAACCCCGAGCGGATTAATTTTGGTAGAAACAATGAATACGCTAATGTAATGTTCGTTTTATTTAGATTCTTCAATAAATCAAGAGCGCCTACAGAAAAAGTAGTGAACATAATAACAAGCTTTTACACCATAAACGAGTATAACAGTGAATGTAGGAGTAAAGCTTAAATAGGAAATAAAAGAATTAATGTATCATTAGGTTGAACAGATAAATATAAACACAAAGTCAACATAATACTTGCATAAGAAGTCAAGCAAATATGCTGAGTACATACTGTCAATAATCAGAACAGAAAAGTAGCCAGAGACAGAAAATTCTCAAAGCTGATTTTCTCAACTGTCAGTTTATTGTTGCCCAGGTAGATTGGTATCTAACAAAATTGCGACAAAGATTTAACCTTAGACAACATACATCATAATTAGTGTAAGTAGGATGTCCGTGACGGGATCAGCTCCCAACGTATTACTTCACAGCTGTGAAACGTAGTCTTTGAAAAGAAACAAACGCAAGCTGCAGGATTTAAAAAGCATTTGTCGGATTAAATTTTGCGTAATCTGAAAAACATAGTGAGTGATCAGGGTTTGTAATGTCTCATAGATGTATCTTCTATACACACCATAAAGGTTCAAGTTCCTCTTTTCATTTTTTTACTTTCTTATACAAATATATCCCTATTGGCTTAAGGCAAGGAGTAGAACTTCCCGGACAGAAGCCATACACTACTCCTTTAAAAATTTATCTTGGAAGTTCGCACCAGTCAGTCATGTGTAAAGTAGGACTTGACACATGTGCATCGAATCTAGTTACCGTCACAGTTTCTGATTATTACTTTAATAGCATGTCCTTAAAGATATAATTCAGGTGAAAATCCAAACCGAAATACTTCGTTTAGTTTGCTTTGTTCCTGTCAAGAGAAATGTAAGAGAGATTGCGATGGGATCGCCATTGGCTTCCTATTTAAGCCCTTTCTGACAAAGTCTCAAGTCACTGAGTTGCATCATTTCATTGTACCGAATAATAAACTGTCGTATCCTGATTATTATCACTCAGCCAAACAACTTCATTCGTATATTCAAGTTTAGAAATACTTCCTCAGTAAAATGACCCACACCACAACCACTACCCACTTCCATGAGTAACGCTTTCAGAATATCATCGATGGCAAAGTTGTGGGGGAAATGACGAAATTAACTAATCCTACCTAACCATGCTGTTGGAATGGAACAATGCAGAGAGGTGGTTGTATGCCTTTTCTGTCCCTGACGTGTTTGTATACCGAGCCATCAAGATATTAATAACTCTTGGAGATACCCTTCTTAAACAATCTGAGAGAACAATCTCATTCAACAAAACAAAGGTGACCGTCATATCAAGAAGCACAACGATTATTGATGTGCAATAAGTACGGTGATGTTTTAACGTTTGGCACAGTACAAATATGTAATTGTTAATTCTTGGACCAGAACGGAAACCACCTTGCCCCCACCCGTATCAGACTTTCAAGAATTTTGATCAACCTGTGTAGTATGACGGGAGCCAATCGTTTGAATGCAATCGACAGTAGACTCTGATAGCTATTGTTTAGATGACAAAGCCTTCTTCAAGGATAAGTAGGATTTTTGCTTTAGTTTAAGATGTTGGGACACTTAATTTTTTATGCTTTTCGTAACAGACCTATCACTTTCCTGATCAGAGGTTTGCTACGTTCCCAAAAAATAACCAGTGGTGAACTGTTTGGTCTCGCTAACTTATGACGCTTTATAAGATGGAGTTCCATGTGGATCTTTCTTTTGTTAGGTGGTCCATTCGTCGGCGATCACGGAGAGCCGAATAAACTAATCGATGACTATGGGGCAATAGAACAGTTGTACTGCTTTTCGAAAACTCGGCTAATCGTTTCCGACGTATTTGAACATTGCTAATTGGGGTATCATCAGCTTTAGAGATTGTTTCACTGATACCAAATTTCTTATTCTGCGTGGCTCAGAGCTGAAATAGCTTTCGGTGGATCATTGTAGTGGAAGTCGGGAGACTAGCGATGAAATATCTAAAACATGACAGTAGTCCACGAATTTGTTGACTGTTTGGTCCTTAACTATACTGATTGATGCAGACTCCCTGGTAGGAGTGTGCGCAACAACCACGACCAGTGTTCAGAGACTTTCCGTGAAATGGTATAGGATAATCATGCGTACTGATTGTTTGAATCATTTCACTGTTTTTTAAGGCCGCAAGTGATTAGTCTCCTTTGGGATTTGTCTATCATGTGCAGATTGCGTCGACAATCTATTCAGCCAAAAGCATTCTAAGCAGAGTTGAATGGTGGCCCAGTTTTGTATACTCTGGAACTTCCTCTCAATCTTAGATACCGATATTTCTTTTACAAATAACTTTCAACTTTGTAGTTTTAAATTACTTCACGCTTATTCCTTCTCACTATCATTGTTACATTATTTTGATTTCTTTTGACATACTTTTTGTTATCTACATCTTGAAGTCCTAATATGATATGAAGAATTGAGCCAATGGACATCTGTCCCAGGCTCTACATTAATGAGGATTGACCAAATCAAAACAACACTATGATGCTAAATGTATGAAGACAGAGAATAAATATATTATAAGAACAACATAAAATAATGATTATTTTTAAGTTATTGCTAAGTTGTAGTATACAGCATTCATACGACGGTCTACACTACAAAGTCGGGCATGGATAACAGCTTATAGACGCATTTCAATTGACAACTGGTGTCAGATAAGGCAGCTTACTCTTTCCCTCTCTCTCTTATGGTGGTTGACTAGATTATGAAGACCCACACATGTGAGGGGAAGCACGGAATACAATGAAAAGCTTGGATGCAACTAGACGATTTGAACTTCCAAGACGACCCAACTCTTTTATATTATATACACCAACAAATGCAGATGAAAACAACCTGTGTAGCAGAAGACTACATCAGTAGGTCCTAACATACACGAGGTAAAATCCAACATCCTCAAATACAACGCAGAGAACACAAACCAAACAAATCACATTTGATGGACAAACTCTGGAGCAGGTGGAAACTTTTAGCACATGACAAGGTCAGCATCATCGACGAACAGGGAGAACCTGATGCAGATGTAATGGTGAGGATCAGTAAACCAAGAGCAATATTCCTACAATTGAACAATATCTGGAACTTACAACAAATGTCAAACAATATCAAAGCCACAATCTTCAATACGAACGTCGAAACAGTTCTACTGTACAAATCTGAAACTTCAACAACTAATACAACCATCATCAAAACGGCACACGTATTTATAAATAGTTGTCTACGCGATATACTCAAAATCCATTGGCTGGATACCATCAACAACAGCTAACTGTGGGAAAGAACAATCAGACTTTGAGCTGAGGAGGAAATCACGGTAGTGGATACGAGATACATTAAGGTAACCATCAAACTGCATCACGAGTTACTTACTTACTTACGCCTGTTACTCCCAATGGAGCATAGACCTCCGACCAGCATTCTCCAACACACTGTCCTGGGCCTTCTTTTCTAGTTCCATCCGATGCTTGTTTATTTTTCTCGTGTCTATTTCCATTTCTCAAAGTAATGTGTTCTTTGGTCTTCCTCTTTTCTTTTGGTCTTGAGGATTTCATGTGAGGGCTTGTCTTGTGATATAGTTGGGTGCTTTCCACAATGTGTATCCTATCCACTTCCAGCGCTTCTTCCTGATTTTTTCCTCCACTGGGATCTGGTTTGTTCTCTCCCACAGTACCTTGTTGCTAATAGTGTCCGGCCAACGGTTGAATGACATGGCTCAAAATCGTTTGCAATGGCGCAGGTGCATCCACAAATTTTAATCTTCTGATTTTTTCATGTCCCTTTCTTTTTTCTCTTTCCAAACTTATTTCACTGGATTATAGTCCTTGAATAACATCTTCAAACCCTAGTTTTTCTGATTACAGCTTATAATCTTATTACATCTAGCACTACGGGATTTGAATCGACAACTGCATCTCTGTGCTAATGTGGTGTGGCAACTCGAACTGATGTACGTACGTACGAAGTTCTACGTTGGTACTGACTGACAGACTGACCGGCCAACGGATCTGAAGTATTTTGCGTAGACAACTGTTAATAAACACCTGTATTTTCTGGATGATGGCTTTCGTAGTTCTCCAGGTTTTTGCCCCATACAGTAGAACTCTCTTGACATTTGTATTGAAAGTCCTGACCTTGGTGTTGGTTGACAGACAGTTGTGTTGAGTTCCAGATGTTCTTCAGTTGTAAATATGCTGTTTTTGCTTCGCCGATCCACGCCTTCACATCTGCATCAGATCCACCGTGTTCATCAATGATGCTGCCCAAATATGTAAAGGTTTTTACATCTTCCAAATCTTCTCCGTCAAGTGTGATTGGGTTGGTGTATGCTGTGCTGTATCGGAGAACCTTGCTTTTCCCTTTGTGTATATTGAGATCTACTGCTGCTACACTGGTCGTTTTCTCCTGCATTTTTGTTGCGCTTGGAATAGAAGGGCCAGATCATCTGCGAAGTCTAGGTCGTCTAACTGCATCCTAGATGTCCACTGTATTCCGTGCTTCCCTTCAGATGTTGATGTCTTCATGATCCAGTCGATCACTAGGAGAAAGAGAAAGGGTGAGAGTAAGCAACCTTGCCTAACACCGGTCTTCACTTCGAACGACTTTGTCAACTGTCCTCCATGCACGATTTTGCAGTTTAATCCATTATACGAACTCTGTATGATATTGACTATCTTCTGAGGCACGCCGTAGTGTCGAAGAAGGTTCCATAGTGTTGTTTTGTCCACGCTATCAAATGCCTTTTCGTAGTCAATGAAGTTGATGTAGAGTGATGAATTCCATTCAATTGATTGTTCCACAATGATCCGTAGAGTTGCGATTTGATCTGTACACGATCTATCCTTACGGAATCCTGCCTGTTGGTCACGAAGTTGGGCGTCTACGCAGTCCTTCATCCTGTTTAACAATACCCTGTTGAAGACTTTTCCCGGTATTGAGAGAACAGTGATGCCCCTGTAGTTATCACAGTTGCTGAGATCGCCTTTCTTCGGTATTTTTGACCAGAAGTCCTTCTTTCCAGTCTGTTGGTACTTGTTCTTCATCCCAAATCTTATTGAAGAGAATGTGGAGTATCCTTGCAGTTGCCGCTATGTCTGCTTTTAGTGCCTCTGCTGGGATGTTGTCCAGTCCTGCTGCTTTGCCACTCTAAATTTGTCTGATGGCCATGCTGATTTCTTCAATTGTTGGTGGGCCAACATTGATTGGGAGGTCCGTGGGTGCTGCTTCGATGTTGGGTGGGTTCAGTGGAGCTGGTCGATTCAAGAGTTCTTTGAAGTGTTCTACCCACCTGTTTCATCGTTCTTCAATATTGTTGATTACCTTGCCTTCCTTACTTTTCACTGGTCGTTCTGGTTTGCGGCGATTTCCAGAGAGTTTATTTGTCGTGTCATACAATTGTCTTATGTTTCCTTCTCTTACAGCCTTTTCCGCCGTCGCTGCTGAATCTTCCACGTATTTACGTTTGTCGGTTCTGATGCTCCTTTTCACTTGTTTGTTTACTTCTGTGTATTCAGCTCGTGCCTTGGCTTTTTCTGCTCCTGTTCGGCTGGTATTGATTGCTGCTTTCTTGTTCCTCCTTTCTTAAATCTTATCCAGTGTATCAACAGTGATCCATTCCTTGTGATGGTGCTTCTTGTGACCCAAGATCTCATGACATGTTGAAGTGATTGCCTCTTTGATCCCCTTCCAGTTGCTCTCCACAGTAGTTCCTTCTCCATTGAGTAGATCATGAAAGGCCTGGAACTTGTTGCTGAGGACTATCTTGAATTCGTTGAGTTTGTTAGTATCCTGAAGAAAGGCCGTACTGAACTTTTGTGATGTCCGCCCCATTGTCCAGTGCTTCTTGAGTTTCAATTTCATCTTGGCGACCAGCAAGTGATGATCTGATGCTTTATCAGCTCCTCTCTTGGTTTTCACGTCCTCCATCGTCCTCCTGAACGTTTTGTTGATGCAAATATGGTCGATTTGGTTTTGCGTGGTGTGATCCAGTGAAGTCCATGTGGTTTTGTGTATGCGTTTATGTGGGAATATGGTGCCGCCTATGACCAGTTTATTGAAGGCACATAGGTCTGCAAATCTCTCACCATTTTCGTTCTTTTCTCCCAGTCCGTGTCGTCCCATGATGTCTTCATATCCAGTGTTGTCCGTTCCAATCTTGGCATTGAAATCTCCCATCAGAATGGTCAGGTCCTTTGTTGGGCACTTCTCGATGATTGACTGCAGCCTATTGTAGAATTGATCTTTAGCGTCTTCATTGTAATCGTTGGTAGGCGCATAGCATTGGATGATGTTCATTGAAATGCCCTCTTTCTTTGTTTTGAACGAGGCTTTGATGATCCTTGGTCCATGAGATTCCCATCCCATAAGTGCCTTTTGTGCTCTTTTGGACAGTATCAATGCAACTCCTTGTGTATGTGGAGCATTTTCTTTTTCATGGCCGGAGTATAACAGAAGTTCCCCTGAAGCTAGTCGTTGTTGTCCAACTTGCGTCCAATGTGTTTCACTGATCCCAAGCACCTCTAGGTTGTATCTCCTCATTTCTGCAGCAATTTGGAAGGCTCTCCCGGTGTCCCACATTGAACGAACATCCCATGCACCTAAATAAATGGTTTCTCTGGTTGTCAGAAGGGGCATCGGCCTCGTAACTTCCGAAGGAATTCGGCTTTCATTATGAGGCGTCATAATTCTTCTAAATGAAGACCTTCTGACTCCCGGGGCAGAGTTTAAAAGGTTTGAATAATTTTTTTTGGTTGGCGTTTTTTTAGCGAGTTAGTTTTCTACGGGATGGGGACGCTAACCCCATGCCCAACCCTCCTCCTTTATCCGGGCTTGGGACCGGCAGTAGCTCCCGGAGGGACTTCACGAGGCGAGCTTTAACTTGAAATCCTAAAGGTTGACGGAAATGAGAAAGACCAAAGAGCGCTGTGTCGAGAATTGGAAGTAGATATCATAAGGATGAGTAGCAACTGGAAAGGATTATCCATGACAGAGTTTGATGGAGAATATTGATGGGTGGCCTATGCTCCTCCACGAGGGGTAACAGGCATAAGTTGTAGTGAATTAAACTGATGGCAAGTTAGTTTTAATAGCTTTACACTTTTTGATAAATAACCAACCTTGTACGTTGTGCTCTTCAAGACAGGTTTGAAATTGATCGCCCAATTTATTGTTTGTTTTACCGATCCGATGGAAATCTAAAGAGAGGACTTTTCTTTAGATGGATATACAGAATCAAAATTAAAATATTATCCAAGAATTAATTTTATGGATGAAATGTTGAGTAAATTACACAAGTTTGCTCCTGTGATTCACGACAATAATACACATTCAAAATTATAATGAAAACAGTGAAATTAAACAAGAATTATGAAATAAATAACTACTTCTTCTTAAGACTTTTTACGACATATGCAAATAAAGGTCTTGAAAACTACCCAGCTACAATATTTGGACACGTGAATATATGGATGTCTAAAATAGTGAATAACAGAAAATGTAAAAACTTTGGGAACATAAAGTTCAGATGTCCTGGTTATCTACTAAGGCATGAATGAGTTTGTAATGTACAATTAATGCATCGTTTTACAGTCGTTATATCTTATTTTGTAAAATCCACTTCAATTTACAAACAGAAACAGTAGCAGCGACCAATGAATGGAACAATAATTTACAAGAATCGTTTAAAAAATAACAATATGCTAAACCTGGTGCAAAACATATCACACACAGCAGCAGCAACAAACAGACAGCTAGTTTACTCAAAATGTACAACTGATATGTCAGTTTTAACCCATTGAAATAACACTGCAGAAAGTATTTACAATGTAGGTATGTATTTTCTATAAGGTTTACCACAAAAAGATATGAATTCAAAACAGTCGTAAAAATTAACCACGAGTGCAAACACTTAGGCGGATGATTCTGTCTATTAAACTGGACAAAGTTCAATACGGTTATATTTATACAAATATGAACATTACAAATCATATTACTTACACAATTTACATTTATTTCTAAGCATAAACAACTCTTTACTATCCACATTAGCTGTATGCCAGAAAGGTTCTAGTGCCTTGTAATCCTGGTAAAACAAAGACAGGTGAGGTGCAAATATAAATATTTAATGTTAGGTATGGAGATAAAATAAACAATGACTTGGAAGATTTTTCTTTTAAGTGAAAGGACAAACAAATCTTGGACCAATGTTAGAATACTCACCAAGATACTTGACAACTCTGATTGAAATATCCGGCAAATGACACAAAACAATGATGCAATCGACTTGAAAAAACACACTTTAACACAATCTACTAAATAGATTGGACTAGATTACTAATGACCAAACATAATGGCAGAAAAACCATATTCAACTGAGGGCACAGGAAATACCATGAAGAAACTCAAAAAGAGACAATTTCATAATACTCGAAAGTAAGAGATGTGCCACAGTAATTATGAACGATGAATGAAAAATTGATAAGCTACTTGAGGATATAAGCATATACAAACAACGGACACAAATCCAATGAAAGGTTGGAAAAAGACTTGCAAAGCGTCAAAAAAGCTTGACAAAGCAAGACTAATATCGATATAAGACAAATCACGAATGAAAGACAATGAATAAATTCTCTTTCTATTCTATGGTGGGCTGAAACTACACAAACCAAATGCCCCACTACGGCCAGTCTAATCACTCCTCGGAACCTTAACATATAGTTTATCAGGAGGAAGTTAAATACTGAAACCTTTGGTGAACTTATCCGTCTACATCATTACATCTTCCACACAATTAAAGTATAAGACTAGGGAAATTTAAATCAATGACGACAAAATGATAATGTCCTTTGTGGCTACAGCTCTATGTAGATGATAAATTCGTAAACATTAAAAAGGAGCTGGAGAATATCTACAACGTCAAGGTCTTTGAGTACACAAACTTTACAATGGAAGAATCGGATAAAAACTGTCATTTTTAGACATGTTAGACACAAGAAACACAACAGAAAAAATTAAAAAAGCAAAGGTATATTGGGAACCAACTCACACAGAAAAAATTCTTAACTGTAGTCAGAGATTTTTCGATTAATGCCATTAAACATTTTTGCTCTGCTCCTTTGCACTATTTAAACTTGTGTAGATTTAATTTGTTTATTCCTCTGAAGAAGTGGCAACTTCAACTGCAGCCCTTCTAGTGATACACCGGTTCTAAGCTCGAGAAAAAGAGGAGGGTCTGGCACAGAGTCAGCAATACTATTACGCGGAAAACAAACTTGCCGAAAGTGCCGAACGACAGGAACAAATTAAACTATTTAAATTCTTCATTAGGAGTTGAAGGATCTTCATTCAGAAGAATTATGACACCTCATGGTGAAAGTCAAGATTCTTCGAAAGCCACGAGGTCAATGTCCATTCTAGCAACAACAGCAACGGTTAACATAGATAATTGAAATGTTCGGACAATGTGCGAGACTGGAAGGACTGATCTAATAATTAAGGAAATGCGGAGATACAACATGAATGTTCACGGAATCAATGAAAACCAAATCTGCACAGTAAAGGTTAGATTCAGGAGAGCTGCTGCTGCACTCTGGTTACGAAGAAGGAAATGCTTTACACACTCAGAAACTTGCTCTGATAATGTACAAAGAAGCATATGGAGCACTCACAGGATGAAAACCTTATCAACCCGGAATAATCAACGCATCTTTCAAAAGAAAGTAAGGAGGGAGTCACAATGTTATCCAATGTTATGCACCAACCAATGATAGCAATGATGATGATAAAGATCAGTTCTATGAGAGGCTACAATCAATCGTAGCCATGTGTGCAGGGAAAGACATGATGGGAGACCTAAACGTTAAATTCGGAGTGGACAACACCGAGTATCCAGATATCGTGGAACGACACTGACTGATTGGGAGAAACGAACGAGAATGGTGACAGATTTGCAAATTAGTATGCATTCAAAAAAATGATCATAGGTGGTACTACTATATTTCTCCACAAACACATACAAAAAGTTGCGTGTGTCTCACTGGATTATACCACACAAAACCAACTCGATCATATTTGCATCATTAAAATATTCACAAGGTCAATGGAGAACGTGAGAACCTGGAGAGGAACTGACATAGCTTCAGATCACCATCTACCTGGTGGTTGCCAAGAAGAAAACTGATGCTAGAGAAACACTGGACAACTGGAGAAATAGTACTCTAAAAGTTCAATACAGACTTCCTTCGATATACTGACAAACTCAACCAATTCAAGATAACTCTCAACAACAGGTTTCAAGCCGTACAAGATTTACTCAAAGAAGAAGAAAATACTATGGAGGACAATTGGAAAGGGATCACAGAGGCGTTAACATCAACGTTTCAGGAAATGCTAGGTCGCAACAAGCATCACCATAAGGAATACATCTCCATCAAAACCCTCAACAAGATTCAAGAAAGGAAGGACAAGAAGACAGAAACTGACAACAGAGAAAGTCAAGGCACAAACTGAATACACAGAAGCAACAAGTAAGTGAAGAGGAACATTGAAGCTGATAAACAAAGATATATGGAAGACCTAGCAACGACGAGGGAAAAAGTCACAACAGGAGGAAATATGAAACAACTATATGACAAGACGAAGAAACTGACAGGGAAATATAGTAAACCAGAGCGACCGGTCAAGGATAAAAGGGATAAGACCATCACAGAGATTCAAGAACAGATGGGTAGAATACTTCGAGGAACTCTTGAGTAGACCCGCCCCACTTAACCCAACGGACATCGAAGCATCACACACAGTCAGTCAGCTACAACGTATGACCAGGCACATATGTGCATCGGTCCAGGTTGCCATACCTCATTAGCACAGCAAGACGAACAGCGGATTCATAGGAGTGGTTAGGTCAAAGGTTGCAATAAGGATATAGTATAGGAAGAAAGAATTAGTTCGTAGAAAGAAAGATATGAAGTGATTTTAGTCTCTTAGTTTAAAGGAAGACAGGGAGTGTATACACCGACGCTATTGTGATCCATTCTGAGCCATGTCACCAAGAGTCTCCAACCATTGGTTACGACAGTCACGCGGACCCCAACCAAGTAGTCTGCATCTACCAACATGGCTCAGACTAGAAGTTAGTGACTTCAGGCACTGATGCCACGTTTTGGTTTGGCCGCCCCTAACTTTCTTCCAACCATCCCCTACACCGGTTAGCATTGCACGTCGTGGTAATCGGTGTTCAGGCATACGTAATACGTGGCCCAATCATCTCAGTTGATGAAGATTCATAACCTCATCAACTGATTTACCATCATTACCTAATACCCTGCGTCTAACCTCACTATTACTTACCCGGTGATCCCAACAGACGCCAGCCATATTTCTAAGGCATCTGTGGCCAAATACTAGTAGCTTACGGGTGTCTTCTACTCTTAAAGGCCATGTTTCGCTGCCGTAAATTAAAACAGAATGGACTGCCGCGCAGTATACTCGTCCTTTTATTGATAGACGGATATCTCGCCTTCGCCATAGGTGACGTAAGTTGGCAAAAGCCAATCGAGCTTTTCGAATCCGTGCTGAGATTTCGTCAGACACCAACCCATTAGGGCTGATCAGACTTCCAAGATAAGTGAAGTTGTCAACGCGCTCAACTACTTCACTCCCTATCCTTAGTTCAGGTGTTGACGGAGACCAGTCCTGAAGCAACAACTTGCATTTAGAGGGAGAGAAGCGCATTCCAACCATCCTGGCATTGTTGCTTAGTGCTACCAGAAGACTCTGCATTTTGTCAGCGTCTTCACCAAACAGGACTATGTCATCTGCGTATTCTAAGTCGATAAGTGGACCTCCTGGAAGGAGATCAATACCCGAGAATTCAGTCGACGAGAGTGTTATTTCCATCAATAGGTCTATGATGAAGTTAAACAAAAATGGAGAAAGTGGACAGCCTTGACGGACACCACTTGAGGTTGCAAAAGTAGATGACAGTTCGTCATAAGCCCTGACTCGACTAGTAGTGTTCGAGTAAAGAGCCTTCACAAGGTTTATGTACTTCTGAGGTACGCCTTTCAATGACAGACACTGCCACAGTCTCGCGGTCTACCGAGTCAAATGCTGCTTTTAAGTCAAGAAATACCACCATCGTCGGACGCCGATAGGTATGCCTATGTTCTAGAACCTGACGAATGGTGAATATGTGGTCGATGCAGCCACGACCAGGTCTAAAGCCAGCTTGGTTCTCTCGAGTTTGCAGTTCACGAGTCTTAGTTAGGCGTCTGATAATTATCGAGGCTAGTATTTTAGATATTATATTAGTTAAACTAATCCCTCTGTGGTTGTCTCAGGATGATTTTGACCCTCTTATATATATTGGGACGATAAGTGATTGTGACCAGTTAGATGGGATAACGTCTAACTCCCAGATCCTAGCTAAAATATTAGTCAACTTAATCGCTAAAATTGGACCACCATCCTTAAAGACCTCTGGAGCCAGTCCATCTGGACCAGCTGCCCTTCCTCGTTTCAGATTAACTATAGCCTTTTGAACTTCAGCAAGAGTCGGGGGACCTACTTCAATGTTCCATTCACACTGTCTGGGAATGGAGGGTAGTTGTAGAGTAGCTGAAGGCCAGCTGAACTGTTCTCTGAAATGTTTCGCCCATCGTTCTAAACGTCTGGACTGGGAGCAGATGAGAGTATCATCTTTTTCCGAAATAATCTCACTTACACTTGACTTATTAATTCCAGTTTCTTTTAATAGTCTGTAAAGCTGTCTTGTGTTCCCTATAGTCGCCGCCTTTTCCATCTCTTTTGCTTTCGATGCCCACCACTGCTCACGGTCGTTTCTTAGACTTTTTCTTAACCTAGATCTGATTTGTTTTCGCTCTTCATCATGTTCAGAACTTGATGGGACGAGTTTGCGAGAATCCATCAGTGTGACAGACCTTGAGGAAATCCACTGGTTCCTTGCAACTCTGTGGTTTAAGTCACTAATAGATGTCACTGCTGTTTCCACAGCTGATTGTATGCCCTTCCAAGCAACATCTGGGTCAGCCTCGTCTTCACAACTACCTAAGTGTGACCTCAATTGTTCCTGGAACCTACTTTTGGTTTTCTCGTTACTCAACTCAGTTCTAACGGGTCTTTTTAATGTGGCTTTTTTGCGTCCAGTGAGGCGCAAGTCTCATCACACACAGACCCTCCTATAGTTGTCACTACACAAACGAACGAAGAGACCAGAATGGCCCGTCATCAGACAAATCAATAGTGGGAAAGCAGCACGAACTGAAAATATGCCACTTGAAGTACTGAAGTCACACATAGAAGTAACTGCAAACATGCTCTGCTCTCCATTCAGGAACATTTGGGAGAAAGAGCAAGTGCCAACTAACTGGAGATATCAGCTAATGTGAAAACTACAGAGGAATCACACTACTATCGGTATCAGGATAAGTTCTCAACAGTGTTGCTGAACCGAATGGAAAATTCAGTAGACGCTCAACTCCGAGTTCAACAAGTTGGATTCTGTGAGGACCAGGCGAGCACACGCCAAATCGCGAAACTATAGATCATTGTTGGGCAATCAATTATATGGAACGTTGCACTATAAATCACCTTCCTTGGCTATGAGAAATCAAACGACGGCATGGGTAGGAGAACCTTATGGAACCGACTTTGACACTATGAAGTGAGTAACTGAGGAGATCATCGACATCATACGGATTTCTTACAACGGACTACACTACAAAGTCGTACATGGAAGGCCTATTTTCTCCATCAGGTGTAACGGATGTATTTAAGAGATCAAAGTCGACAAGACAAGTTATCAGTCATACGTAGAGAGATTCGAATATGTCGCTTCTACTTCTATCTGAAGTTTATGCTGATGTTCAGAACAATAAGCTTCACGAATAAACCAAACAGCTGAAAGAGTGAAACTGTAGCAAAAACAAAATTGGGGGAACGCTTGAATTATGTAGTATATATAAACAACAAAGTGACTAACCAAACCACCAGCAGCAGCATAAACCGGAAATGAAGATAGATGATCATTTTGTTTTTGATACTTATGTATTACTTTGAAAATTTCCAGAGCAGCAGCTGGGCGTCCCTTCGCTAAGAGTACTTTGACAGTGTCAATAGCAAACTCCAACGGAAAGTAATCTGTTGTAAGTAATTTTGTTGTAATCTGTAGGTTAATAAATAAAAATATGTGGAACAAATTATCAACAGTTAGATACAATCTTGAATAGGCTATTGAATAGAGCTTGGTCGAAATATGATTAGACTGATATAATAAATTGAACAAAATCAAGACAGAGGGAGCAAAACTACATTAACGCAGACAGAAGCTGGGCAAACAGCTGGGAGTCACATTATCTAGCAGATTTAATGCATATTGTTATATCTACAAAAACGTGAACCTGACCTACATTCATCTATCTACTCCCACACAATTCTCAATGCAGAAATTCACGAGACATTACATGTTTCGGCTTTTTAAGTAACTTTATTATCATGAGGTGAAATTTACTGTTTAGAAAGTTATTAGCTTAGAAAATGTGAACCCCGGTTTCTACAGTGTTACTCAAGTTCATATAAGAATGAATTTTGTAGATCGTATGAAGCGACATCTATGGTAGTATGTTGAACAATTAATACAATTTGTAAAAATCCTTCACATTTTATTTTGGGAAGATTTATAATTTAATAGAGTAAAATACCAAATTCAAATATACATAACAATAAATTGACCAAATACCTCACTGCACGTTGCATCAGTATATGCCAACGAACACACTAATCTTGTGTACAGATCCAAGAGTAAAATAGGTGAGATTTCACGGGATGCTGTTTTGTCATCTATTGAAGGGAGTACAGCGTAAGCCTCATCTAGAGTTCGTAATAAACTGTCTTTGTCACCAATATCAGCGTAAGCGGACAAAAGGCCTTCATATGCAAACTTTGATGGCCACAAACCTATTTGCGATAGTAACTCCTGCGTAGAAGAAACTTCCTCAGGTAGTCTGAAAGGTTGTTTTGAAGTTTAGAGAATACAAATTAACTCAAAATAAAACCAAGGTATTTTAAACAATTTTATTCAGTGTTCAGAACAAGTAAATGTTATTATAACTTGATGACAATATACTTGGATAGTGATTATAACTAATATCTTAGACTGGAGTGAGTTGAGGTTGGAAGCTGTAGCACGGAGGTGGAAATAATTATGTGGATAAAATGTAAACGATTTAACACTAAGATGATATGCTTGTGGATCAACATAAAACGTCACTAGAAGCGCGATGGATTGTACCAATTAGGAAGCAAGATCGACTAGTAGAACATCCGTCGAAAGACCAGCCGATGATGCAACTAAACAATTATAGATATGCTGTATTATAAGCCATATACTGTTGGGAGTGAAGACAATAGCCAATAGTTTTATCTTTGATAGAATAAACATAAAAAACCAAATATGTACAGAAGGCTCGATTAGATTTTACCAACTTGCGTCATTCATGGCGTAGGCGAGATATCCGTCTATCAACCAAAGGACGTGTTTACTGCGCAGCAGTTCGTTCCGTCCTACTTTATGGCAGTGAAACATGGCCGGTAAGAGTAGAGGATATTCGTAGGTTACTAGTATTTGATCATAGGTGTCTTCGAAATATTGCTCGTATATCCTGGGACCATCGAGTAAGTAACACAGTTGTTAGGAAACGGGTACTAGGTAAGGATGGCAAATCAATTGATGAAGTAGTGAAACTTCATCAGTTGAGATGGCTTGGACACGTGTTACGTATGCCCAACGACCGACTGCCTCGACGTGCTATGTTCAGTGGTATAGGAGTAGGTTGGAAGAAAGCTAGGGGCGGCCAGACCAAAACATGTCACAAGTCCATGAAGTCACTGACAAGTGAACTGAGTCATGTTGGTAGGTGTAGACTACCTGGTTGGGGACCGCGAGATGACAGCAACCGATGGTTAGAGACCCTGAATGACATGGCTCAAAATCGTTTGTAATGGCGCAGGTGAATCGACTCTGTGTTCTCTCAAATTCTAATCTGAATTCTCGTCTCTTCCCAAATTTATTTCACTGGATTATACTCTTTAAATAACATCTCCAAACCCTAATTTTTCTGATTACAGCTTATAATTTTACTACATTTAGCACTACGGGATGAGTCGACAACTGCGTCTCTGTGCTAATGTGGTGTGGCAACTCGAACTGATGTACGTACGTACGAAGTTCTACGTTGTTACTGACTGATTGAATTTAGAAACCTGGTCTGTCCGGGAGCTCTAACTACGTATTCCACTACTCCTGAATCTCAATGATTGAGTTGCCTACCTAATTTCTGACTAGTCACTCTGGTTTACTACATTCCCCTGCTAGTTTTTTCGTTGCCATATAGTTGTTTCACATTACCTCTTCTAGTTTTCTGCAGCAGTTGCTAGGTCTTCTAGATATTCTCGCCTGTCAGTTGTAATGCTCCTCTTAACTCAATCGTTCCAATGTATCCGGCCTGTGCCTTGGCTTCTGTTCTAGCCAGGACGTTAAGTTTCTTTCTATTTTTAGATTTTTACCTAAAGCGTCAATAATGACTAACTACAAACTACTGGTCAGGAAGGGTACCATAGCGTTTACTTAAGTCACTCATACCAACACCCTGCTTACTGGATGTTGTAAAACGATTATTCTAATCACTATCACAGGTTGGCTTACTACCTAGATCCTTAAACTATAACCAGCTATATACAAAGTAATACCTGTCACATACATCAGTTAGGGTTGTTACACCATGTTATCGCAGATGTATTAGATTATTCAGACACTTCAGAGTAATGAAAGCAGTGACAGTATCAGATGTAAAAATATGTAATGATAAAAGGTTTCGGGATTCTGGATTCAAGGAGGTGCAGCGAACACCGAAAACAAGCAGACAGGTGATAACATAATCAGAGCAGAAAACACTATCTATATAATTTAGGGCTTATCATGAGCAAATACCGTGTGAACAGTTAACACTTACCCGGCTTTCACGTAACCGTGTAAAATCTGGGCAAAAATGTAACGATTGGGCTTGAATCCAGCATCTCGGAGCATACGCAAGCAAAAGCTGAAATTAATGTTATATATTGACAGGGTACTTTGTTTGATTCATATCTCCGACAGCACAACTTTGAGATATAAAGGAGGCGTATATCCACTAAGCAACATTACTTGATAAACTGAACCTACGGAGTTAGGCGTCAATCCAGCACCTCGCATATCTTTTAAAACCTTTTCCGGGTCATTATGAAGTCCTAATTTGACTCTCATATTTAGATATCTTTCGATCAAGTCCATATCCCCAGCTGCTTTACTATGAATATAATAAGTACTGTACCTTTTAGAATCCGACTCCAAAAACGTTCTGTAGCCTGCTCATTTTCGTCGCGGCTGTACAAAGCACCCTTAATTCTTTGTTTGCGCAGAAACCTATCTATATCAGTCAAGTCATTTTCATCAGAAACACGGAGAGCCAAATTTGGTTTGTAAGTTTTCTGGGCGCCTTCAACTGTTGAAATACATCTGGCACTTGGACACAAGACAGACTTAGTAGCATTCAAATGTCTTAAAACGATATTTTTACTGAACAGTCGGCGAACTGCCAACATTGTAAATACGCCAGCCATGACGAGACAGCGCAAGATTTTAAAGTGAGAGCGTTTTTGACCCAGTTTTCCTAAATTCAAACTATGGAATGCAAAACTCAAATTTAAAATACAAAATAAGATAACTTCACGTTATTTGTTACCCATGAAAAAACTTTAAAGGTTATGAATGCTGTAATGAACATGGTAGTTTCCAACTATATGAGTGTCTGTTGTGAAGGTGGTAGCTTAGAACTCCAAAATAACCTGAAGAAATTATCTGAATGGTCTCAAACCTGGTAGTTGCTGATAAATACTTCCAAGTGTGTTGTGATGCATATCGGTCATCAAGGCACAGATACATACACGATAAATAACACTGAGCAGTCTATTAGTTGGCACCTAGTCAAAAGCCTTACTGAAATCGATGTAGACAACATCCACTGAGTTTCCATTGTCTAGCGCATTTATCCGAAATTCCCTTGCTATAAGGAGGCTTGTTGTACAAGATAAACCATTTCTTAAACCATGTTGTTCCATGTTTAGCAATTTATTGGTTTCCATAAATGCCATTATGGTCCGTTTGATTATTCTTTCCAGTATTTTAATTACCATACTGGTGAGGCTTACGGGTCTGTAATTCGATGGAACTTGTCGTGGACCTGTTTTATGTATGGGAGTGACGATTGCGTCCTTCCAGTGCATAGGTAACACACCTTGGTCAAGTGACACATTGAATATCACAGTCAGTGGGGCCGCGATATATTGGGCAATATGTCTCAAGATTTTGGGGTGTAGTCCATCTGGTCCTGTTGACTTTTCCACGTTTAAAGTGCTAAGAGCCTTAAGCACATCGTTTTGGTCGAAGTCCACGGTGAGCAGCTGGTTTGTTGACTCTGTACTTTGGTCTGGTTCTTTGTCTAGAGGAGGTTCCTGAGTGAAAACTGAACCAAAATATCCAGCCATAGCCTCTGCTCTTTCCTGATCTTCCTCTATCATTTCAGATTCACTTCCTTCTTCAATTAGGTTGGGGATCCAACAATGCATCCTTGTTCTGTAATTTATCCACGAGAATATTCTGTCAGGCTGCTTGAGTGCAGATTGTGCCAATCGCATAACATATTTTCTCTGAGCTTCCCGAATTTTAATTATACACGTGTTTCTTACAGATCTGCAGCGTTCCATGGTACCTGCTGTGCCAAGACTGATAGCAACATTCCAACATTTCTTCTCTTGTCTTAATAAACATCGAATATGCCGGCCTATCCAGAGATGGCCGTGCTTCTTCTTCTTTTTGCGACTGTCCAGGGTATGCATGGTTGAGTTACCTGATCGTATATCTGCCTGAAATGAGTCCATGCTCCTTGTGCTGATGCCATTGACTTGATTTCTTAGTTCTCAGCCGATGCTGAGGAGTTGATTGCCTCCATGTCTGTCTTCCATATATTAGGATGTGTGAGCTCAACTGTTTGACAGGAAAGTTCGGCCATGAATTTGAATGATATGACTGCAAGACCGCCTCTTTCTAGTGGTGGGAGGAAGGTCATTTGGCCGATGTCATCACCATGTGTGAAGACTAAATGGAGAGGAGAAGAGGAGCTTCGTAAATTATATCTTGTGGAACCTCTAATGTGTTTGAATAAAGGTAATGCAATCGATGTTTCTAACAGTTTGCAATCGAATGACGTTACCGATGGCCTCACTTCTAAGTTTACCCAGTTTATACACGTCACCTACCATAAGGCTTTTGTCCGTATTACACCAGGACTTAAGTTTGCTAAGAAAGGAGTCGTCTATTACAAATTCTGAACTGCGATATACAACAACTAATTCAGTATCTTGCCGCCTACATTTTAGCTTGAAACGCAACCAGTTCACATGTTCCTGAATCATGTGCCACTGTTTCAACTGTTCGTGTGGTTAAAGTACTTTCCGTGTACGGGACAAGCCCGCTTCCTCCGGGGTTTAGTGTATCAGCCCTACTGGATAAAAAACCAGTCAACTGAATTTCATTATCGAACACTTCTGACGCTAACTATGTTCCTGAGACAGCAATATCATTCGGTTTTTCTCTATCCAAGATTGTCTTGGGCCTCGCCATTTTATTCAGAAGGCTGCAAGCTTTTGTGTGGCACATTTTTAATCCTGTGGAGAATTTTCCATTACCGCCTAAAGTGGTTTGAAGATCGTTTTTCTCCAAATGTTTACAGTTTGAAAACCCTGAGAGGTCTCTTGGACCAGCTTAGACGGCAGCGAATTCCGGCATCTGACTACTCTTAAGGGGTAAAAGGTGTGTCTACAGTCCGTTCTGCTGAGCTGTCTCCAGCTTCAGGGTGATTCCTCTTAGGTTCTTGTCGGCGCGAAACTTAAGTAGATGTTTAAAGGGATGTCCAGAAGTATTTGAGATGCTGTATGTCATTAGGTCACCTCTAAGACGCCTGTACTCTAATGGGTAAATGTTTATTGATTGAATGCGCTCTTCATAAGGTTCGAACTTGAGTCCTAAAATAATTTCGTGACTTGTCGTTGAATTCGTTCCAGAGTGTCCTTATCCTTTTGGAATGAGGAGAGAAAAACTATATTTCCGCACTCTAAATTGAGACAAATAAAACCGTTGGAAATTATATGGAAAGTTATGCAAAATTATGGTCCACTATGATATTAGTACTGCTCCAATAATAGACCGGGTTCTATGATTGTAGATTTGTCATGATATAACTGCCTAATCTATAAGATCTTACGTGGAAGTCACATCATCGTGTACACCAACTCACTATATTGTAACAATTACCAATACATGATAGAGAACAAGCTTGGGCTAGAGACAGAACAATATATTCAATATGAATAAGAGATATAAGGTAATATTCAGCAGGGACCACGCCTGCTTGGCCGGGCCATGCCGTACGATCAACTCTCATTGATTCAATTCATTGTTCCCGTCTTTTCCATCGTTAGGTATTTCTCCGCGTTAAATATTGAATATCTATTTTCCGAGTAGTCTCGTGTTCAGCTTTGAGGATTGTGTGGTTATGGTCCAATGCCACTACAGTTCTGCCGTCAAACTGGCTAAAATGTGCTTCAACGTTGCTATTACAAGGTTTGCTCAAAAAGCATTTTTGTCACAGTGTAAGACTTAAAATAGCAGGGTTCCACCACTCCTAAATATTTTTCAACTTGGGTACTTCTAGAACGGAGTCGCCTAAGTTGTAGCCGTAGTCTGCATCGTATCGGAGATGGACCACGTTACGTTTTGACGTGTTAATAATAATAATAATAATAATAATAATAATATATCTGCATAAGCAGGTGCACTCCATTTCTACAGGCATGATCTATAAACTACAACATTTTTTGGAGCACAGCATGCTTCCCAACTTATTAAGTTTATCCTTGTTATAAAGTAGACTCGTAGAGCACTTGCTGTAAACCTTGAACTTAAGGAGGCGCGTACACCAAGTTTGCCCCAGACGTCAGAAGTTCCATAGCTGTGCTGTCAGAGCAAGTTTCTGAGGAAGAAAAAAAGAGAAACAGAAGAGCAGCAAGGCACTTGGATATGAACGCAAAACGTTGCTTAACATTGTGTAGTAGAACAGACAGAGGTATAATAAATTATATTGAATCCATATTATCTCTTTTTAGAATGAAATGAAGTCAGAGGCTCCATATTAGAGAATTTAGTAATAAAGAACAATGAGTTGTGATGCTTAACAAGCTTGATTAAGCTCACATGAAGGAAGGGAAGTCAAGGTTGGTACAAGGAAAGCGGTTTATTAGAAGCGAGTGTGCACATAGAGGGTGAAGTGTTAAGAATTCTAACGACTTTATCTTTTATTGCCTCATTTTTTCTTTCTTTTTTTGTTGGAGTTTCGTTCTCTGAGCTGGATGGTTTGGTCGTGGAGCTTTCATCGTTCTTCTGAACGACATCATCAGCACAAACTTCAGATAGAAGTGAAGTGTTTGAATTTCTCCATATGTGTCTCAAAGCTTGTTCTCCACCATTTCTTTTTTTGTCCACCCGACACCAGCCACACAAAGTCCAAGTGTGCATGTTATAGGTTGTCTTAGTCGAATTGTTAATCCAGCATAAAATTGGAAACATGAATCCGAGTGGTGATCATAGGAAGACAATCTATACCACGGATTGATTGACTCGTTCCCAATCACAAAGAGCCTGATATATACAAAATGTTCTGCCCCACAAACCCGGGGGATTGAAGTCATCGCCCCCATCATCAATGCTTGCTGGTTAGTAACTCCACCCTCCCTCCTTTTTTGATGTTAGGCTCATTTAAGCTTATTTTTTGGATATATATCATACCTCACACAATCCTCTGTGTATCACATCCTGTTGGAAAACACTATTTCTATAAGTACCATTTTACAAGCTTATCAAGCAGTTATAAATTATGGACTGTGGGTAAGTCATCGATGCAATGCTTTAATTGACTGTAGTATAAAGTATAGGTTGCCGATCAGGGTATTGGCTATAAGAAGGGTATATTATAGAATAATGGTTTACCAAAGCAGGCGGAAAAGTATAGAAATATATGAGTTGTAGTTAAGGTAACGAGTGGAGAAATAATAATAATTGCTAGTCAACATAGTGTACAGAAGAGTAAAATGTTAATAAATAATAAACAGGAGGAAACTCGCACTAACTTGGTGCTTATGTTATTTTGTGTTGTCCTAACCAGTTGATGGGTAAAAGGCTCCATAGATGCAAAACCATTGGTAGTAGGCAGTCAATTGTACGGTTCTCTTGACCTTTTAGGGTGGTAGTTTGTGTCCCTTAGCGACCGAGTTCAGTTAAACAGTATCGATAGGTCCAGCGAGTTTTCTGTCTACTTCAAGTGAAGAAACAGGGTGGAAAAAATAACGAATACAGTTGCAAAATAGGAAAAATAAGGCAAACTGAACTTGATGTCCATTTTAGTCTAGACATGGACAGAGCTTATGATGTCTGAGTGGGGCGCAGATGTGTTCGTACGTGCTAGATCAGTGCAAGTGACGGCTTGATCAAGCAGTTTTGCAAACGTATG